CTGGAATTTGACACAACATTGTAAAATGATTATAAATCAATAAAAATGTTAAAAAAATTTGGTTTGAGATCCACTCCTGCTTCTTATTGCTGTGAAACTTTGGAAAGGCATTTACTGTATTATGAGCCTTACACTTTTCATCTTTTTAACAGGGAAAATACTTAGTCAATTCATCTCTTTGACTTATTGTGAAGATCAACATACATGATCAAGGACATAAAGCGAACAAGCAGGCAGATCAGAGCGTGGCCTCGTGGGATGCCCGTGTGGGGACTGCACCTCCACCACATTCCAGCTAGGAGAACGTGGTCACTTAACCTCCTGAGCCTCTGTCTCCTCATCTGTGAAATGCAGGGAACAAAAGTACTGAGACCTCATGAGGGCGGGAGGTGACACACGCAGTAAGACACGCAGTGTGCCTGGAACAGGAAATGACACTGTGCAAGCTGAATAACCGTTCCCTGTCATTACTCATTGTATTAAAGGCACTGCTGGACTATTAAGGGCGGGCTGTTCGATCGTTCCACATGAGGGTGAAGAAGATGATAGAGACATTGTAATGATGCTCTATGCCTTTGAAAGCCTTTAGGCCTAGGTCAGTCTTGGGGTCCATGATGGTTAATTTTATGTGTCAGACTGACAAGGTCACAGGGTGTCCAGCTATTTGGTTCAACATTATTTCTGGGTGTGTGTGTGTGAAAGTGATTCTAGCTGAGATGAGAATTTGAAGGAATAGACTGAGCAAATCGTATTGCCCTCCCCAGTGTGAGTGGGCACCACTCAGTCCATTGAGGGTCTGAATAGAATCAAAAGGCAGAGGAGAGGAGATCTGATCTCTCTGCCTGACTGTTGACCAGGGATGTTGGTCTTATCCGCCCTTGATGGACTGACATTTACATCATTGGTTCTCTTGGTTCTCAGGCCTCTGGACTCAGGCTGGAACTCACATGGCTGACTTTCCTGGGTCTCCAGCTTTCAGATGGCTGATGATGGGACTGAGATGGAGATGATCACTATTTATATGTATATATGTCTATCTTCACATATCTCTATATGTCTCCATCATATCTATCTTATCTGTTTGTCTGTCTGTCTATCTATCTACCCATCCATCCATCTATCTATCTGTCTGTCATCACCTCTGTTTTTAGAGAGCCCTGACTAATGCACAGACATTGTGCTGCTCTTTATTGGCATCAAGTTGAGCTGGCCTAGGTGGGTGGAGAGGAAGGGCCACTGAACCCCTCGTTACTGCTTATGCCCTGGTGTTCAACATCCACTTCTTTTCCTCTGTGGAATACTGAACCACTGTATTTATGCCTGGAAAGGGCGTGGCTCTTCTGCGGGTCAATCTAGTCAAGAGTTGAGTCCACTCTTGGATTTTGTTGTTGCTCTGTCTTTCTTCAGCACATCATCAGCTTCCAGTTCCTCCAGGGTGACCCTATGGAGGCTGGTGTGCTGGAGGGTTTTTACAAAGTTTGTGTTGCATCCTCACCTTTCAGCTTCCCTGTGCACCTGCCCCACAGAGGCAGCCTCTCTCAATGCCCTTGCCCACCTCCCATTGCTGGCCTGGAAAAGGAGAAGTTCTTGATTGTCTCTGTCTCTGGAGGACCCTGCATGATAAGGGTGTCAGGGCAGGGTTTCCTTAGTGTTCTTGCTTTTTTCCCCCTTTGGTGGCCAAATTCCATTTTGTGCCTTTGGGTATTAGCCCCATTTGGATCTTTTGCATGAGAGTTTCTTTGCAGTGCATCTTCCCCAGAGGGAGGTGCCCTCTGATGGCATGAGTATAGGATCCCCAGCCTAGGAATATTTCCTGCCCCTCCCCAGGGCTACTCTCTTCCTCTATCAAACATATATTTATTAGTGCCTACTGTATACCTGCATCAATGCTAGATTATGAGGGACCAAAGAGGAATAAGAGCTTGGATGCTAAAGGGAGACTCCAACATGCATGCAGGTCTGGGTTTACAACATACTGTAATACAGGTTCAATTAAAAGGCAAGTTTTTCAATCTTAGCACCGTTGAGAGTTGGGGCTGTATAATCCTTTGCTGTTGGGGGGCTGCCCAGTGCTTCTGCAGTATTCCTAGTGGCATCCCTGCCCTCCACCCAGTAGATGTCAGTGGCACTCCCCCAGTCCTGATTGAAAATGTCTCCAGGCGTTGCCAAATGAATGCTCGGGGGCAAAATGGTCCTGGATGAGAGCCACATAAAGCAATGTGTTATTGGTGTCAAAGACTGCTTTGTATTGCTTCTTCCAGAAGACTTCTCAAAAGTCTCTGACTGGGCTCAGAGACGCAGCTCCCTGCTCTCTGTAACTTGTGTTATCTCTGTCTTAGCATCTTGTCTGACATCATTGAAACTGCCAGGTCAGGCCACCACCTCCTCCATTAGACTATGGGCCCTGGCTCAGTCTTTATCCTCATGGTTGAGCAGAATACTTTGTATATAACAAGTGCCCAAGAAATGACAAGCTGGGTAATGGTGTGGTGGTTTAAGACAGTTGTAACCAGCCTACAGAGTCGACATGGGAACTGGCCCCTGTAAGGACTCTCTCTCTCTCTTTTTTTAATTGAAGTGCAGTCAGTTACAATGTGTCAGTTTCTGGTGTACAGCACAATGTCCCAGTCATGCATATACATACATATATTCATTTTCATATTCTTTTTCATTAAAGGTTATCACAAGATATTGAAGATAGTCCCCTGTGCTATACAGAAGATGTTTGTTTTTTCAAATCTATTTATATATATACTCCAACTCATATTTCTTGAATGAATTTGTTGACTGAATGGTTAAAGTGTTTAGCTGGGTGTCTGTGTAAAGAGGAAATGTTCAGTATTTCATGCCTCATCTTGGTCTCCCAGTCTCTATCGGCTGTGTTCTGTGTGAATGGCATTGCTTGGTAAAAATTGTAGTTTTTCTCTTCTTGTCAATATTTAACAGAAGCCCTGGAGTTAAATAGGTAAACAATGTGAACAGCTAATGCACAAGGAAGAATGTGCTATAAATATTCAAAAGCATGTTCACACTCACTAATAAATGTGATACAAGTTTTAAAACAAGAACAGTGAAATCCCTTTTTAAAAAAATTATGATTAAAAAAGTAATAGCCAGTTTTGGTGAGAATTCTGTGAGGTGGAAATTCCAATGTAGGGCTTCCAGGAGGGTAAATTGAAATGATTTTTCAGAGAGAAATTTTACTGCATGTACCCAAAGCCTTTCAAATGTTTTCACTAAATTGTTACATAAAATAATTAAAAATCTTACAATGGGGAAAGATATATCTATGAAGATCATGCTTATTAATGCTTGCTTATCATATGGGAAATAGTTTTATGACCAGAATGTAATGTTAAAAGAAAGGACTCCCTTCCGTGAAGTATATCTGCACAGAAAACATCAACATGAAATGCACCAAAGCGTTATTTATAACTGATAGTCCTGCAACCCCAGGGGCGATTAATTTGCATTTTATGCATTTCTGCATTAAGAAAATTAACCATTAGCAAAAGTGTTATTAAAAACAAAATCCTATATCTGTTTAGAGCATTTTCATTTACAAGATAGCTTTCTAAGATTATCTTTTGTGGTCTCCAAACAGCTTTTCCAAGTAGGCATGGGAGGGACTTTTATTCGTGTTTTGTCTGTGGGTTTACAAAGAGGCTCAGAGAGGTTGTGTGACTTACAGTTGTCTCTTGGTATCGGTAGGGGATACCAAAATCCTGTGAATACCAAAATCCGTGGATGCTCAAGTCTTTTATATGAAATGACATAGATTTGCAAATAACCTACACACGTCCTCCTGCATGCAGCTGACCATTGAACAACACGGGTTTGAACTGGGTGGGTCCATTTATAATGAGATTTGTATTCATTAAGTACATATGATGGCACTGCATGATCCTCGGTTGCTTGAATCTACGGACGCGGAATGGCACACGTGGTGGGGTGATGTAAAGTTGTGTGCAGATTTTCAGCTGCCCAGAGGGTCGGGCCCCGAACCCCGGGGTTGTTCAAGGGCCAGCTGCACTTTGAATCATCTCTAGATTACCTATAACACCTAATACAATGTAAATGCTATGTAAATAGTTGTAAATACTAAATAGTTGCTGGCATACAGAAAATTCAAGTTTTGCGTTTTGGAAATTTCTGGAAATGTTTTTTTTTTCAAATTCTTGTGTGGTTGAATCTGTAGATGGGGAACTGGCAGATATGGAGGGCTGACTATATGAATCACCACACAAGTAGCAGTTGGAATCATCGGTCCTAAAATCTGGGCAAAATGATATGTCATTATTCAAAAGATTAGAGTCTAAGCTCTGCTTCTGGAAAACAAGATGAACATTAGATGAGATGCGAGTGAAACTCCTTAGCCTGGTGCCTGGCTCACAGAAAGTCTTCAACAAATATTAGTTTTCCTTCCGTCTAGGGGCTCATTCTACAGGACCATGATGCCACCAGTGTCCCCCTGCACCTCACTGAGCTTGACCTGCTCATCACCTAACAGTATGCCTCGGGAAGGACAGATGGGAAACTCCTGGGTTCCAGGAAGTGCCCTACACCTGTTCGGTTACTCACTTCTTCCAGCCTCATCCACTTGTTCCAGGTTTGCCCGTCTGTGGGGATAGAGGTCTTGGCATCTAAGGAAAGGGGCGTGTCCATCACATCCTTGAAATAGCGTGTGTCTGTGAGAAGAGAAAAAGAATTTAAAGTCATACGTTACACGGACTCATGATTTACAAAATACTCACAGAACTACAAACTTACTGAACCATCACAACGTAGGTATGAGGCAAGGAATTCTACTTCCACGTAAGAGAGGAAGAGACTGAGACTCAAAGAGGAGACATCACTCCTTTGGGTCCATGGGCGTCAAAGCCAAAGTCTGGACCTGAACATTCTTCATTCTCTTATCACTTGGGGAAATCTACTCATCCTTCAAGGCGTGGGCTGTGTCAAGCCCTTTGAAAATCACCCTGGTCCCACCCACCTGCACACCACCCCGGCCCCCCTTTCTATGTTATACCCTTAACGTATTGTGTCACAGTTATCTGTTTATGCTTGCTTCTGCCACTAGACTGTGACCTGCCTGAGAACGAGGATCATGCTTTGTTTATCTTTGTGTCACTTGATCAATCCTAACATGATAACCGGCACACAGTAGATACTCAGTAAATGCTTGTGAGTCAATGAACAAAGGAGTATCATTATTATTTACAAGGTGACTCTCCCCAAAGAACTTCTGTAGATTAATTTCAGGAGGTCAGGCACTCAGAAATCACAAATGCTTCCTCTTCTCCTTTACAGTGGTGTGCTTTACTAAGGTTCAGAGAGCCTGCGGAAGCCTACGGCACCCCAGTTAGAAAGAGGCCAAGGTGGGTGTGCGATAAGGTCTCCCTTCTCTTGAAAAGTCTGGCTGTGCTGCCATGCCTTACTGCTGCTCATATGCTGGCCACTGGCAAAACGAATCAGCCATATTCAAAGGTCTTCCCTTTCCTTCTCCTCTCCTCTATGCAAACTCCATCTTAACAAGGACGTTGCCCCCACCCCTGACTACCCATCTTCTGCCATGCTCATCAGTCATTTTTACGACTCAAGAGGAGCATCATGATAATAACAACCAATAGTTACAGAGCCCTGACTTGGTGCCAAGTCCTCCGGTGCAAACTCAACATGCATCATACATGTAATCTTCAAAAGAACTCTCCAGGGGTAAGTTCTGTTATTATGAACCCTATTTTGAGATAAAGGAAATTATTCTTAGATGCTAGCTCAAGGTTACACAGCTAATAAGCTATGGAGGCAGGATTTTAACCCTGAGCTGCACCCTTAGGTACTGCACAGAATCACAGCGTGGATGTGCATTTTCAGATTTCAGGCCCCAGATGTTACCTGCATATTCAGATTCCTTTATGGGCCTGGCTGGTAAAATTTTCATTGATTGCCACGCCTCTGCCACACGAAGCTCGGGGTCTTCATAGTCGTCATCCGTGTGGTCTTTTGCTCCATCCAGGGCTGCAGCAAAGTTCCTTTCCTAAGGAGGGGACATTTGAGTGAGTCAAGGGAAGGTACAATAATGACAAAGATTACAGTGATGGTTAAGGGAGTGATACAAACTCTCTCAGCTGGGAGTTAAAGATTTAAGGGTCTGGGGTCTGGGGCAGTTAAATACTTGTGGTAGGTAGAATATGAACAGTGACCCTAGAATGACGTCAGCATCACAGTGGTGTGGGACACTTGAATTTCCCCTTCAATGTACAACTAGTAAAACATCCATGGCTCAGCAGTTTCCTTTGCCTGACAGACCAGAACCCCAGAGAGAGCTGCATGTTTGTACAACTAAAGGTGAGCAGATTGGAACACACGGAGGGGACAGGACAGTAGAGGTGGGGCCCACCTGGCCATGGTGACTGCACCTGCCACCCCAAAAAGCCCAGTGGCAGCAGCAGAAGCAGCGCACAGGACTGGTTTTCTGGCCACAGTGGCACCTGCGGCCACACGGAGCTGAACGGCAGCAGCAGGGCCCACAGCCCCAGTCCCCCAGCCGCAGCGGCACCTGTGGCACCTGCACCCCCTGCCCAGGGCGGCTGTGCCTGAGACCCCGGCTCCCCACCCCTGGCTAGGGAGGCGGTGCCCGTGACCCAAGCGACCCTGGATACGAAGATGCAAGTGGTGGCGGTGCCGCTGGCAGCAGTAAGGCACCAGTGACAACACTGGCAGAGGCAGTGAATGGTGGAAAGTGCCAGTTCTCGAGTATGCCCAGAGGCAGTTCAGGCAAGAAGGAACACAAACTTGTGTTACAGTGGCAACTATTGAAAAACGAAAAGGCCTCTGATTACCAATCTGTGGAACTGTTAGAGTCTAAGTAAATACAGATTTACCTAAACAAGGAAGGTACTTACTACTTCAAATGCACCAGCAGAGGAACAGCTCATCAAGCACCATGAAAAATCATGGTAACACAAAATCAGAAAAAGAATATGACAATTATCCAGAAACAAAGCTGAAAGTCACAGCTGAATGAGACCTAACTGAAAGAGAATTCAAAATAGTTGTCATGAAGAAACTCAGTGAGCTACAAGAAAACTCAGAAAGCAATTCAATGAACTCAGGGATAAAACCAATGAACAGAAGGAAAACTTTACCAAAGAGACTGAAACTCCAAAAAAAAGAAAACTAAACAGAAATTCTGGAGCTGAAGAACTCAATAAATGAATTAAAGACTGCATAGAAAGCACTGGAAATAGAGGAGACCACGTGAAATTTGTGAGCTTAAAGATAGAAGTTTAAAAATGATTCAGTTAAAAGAGGAGAGAAAACTGAGATTTTCTAAAAAGTGAAGAAACTCTATGAGGTCTATCTGATTCTACTAGAAAAAGCAACATAAGAATGGTGGGTATTCCAGAAGAAGAGAGGCAGAAGGGAGGAGAGAGCTTACTTAAATAAATAATAGCTGAGAACTTCCCAAATCTGGGGGAAGGGACTGAATACACAGGTCCATGAAGCTAGTTATCTTAACGCAGAAAGACCTTCTCCAAGACACGTTGTAGTAAAACTGTCAAAAGTCAGAGGTAAAGAGAAATTTAAAGGCAGTCAGAGAAAAATAGACAGTAACGTACAAAGGTACTCCCATTAGGCTGTCAGCAGCTTTCTCAGCAGAAACGCTACGGGCCAGGAAAGAGCGGAATGACATACTCAAAATAGTGAAAGATAAAAACTGTCAGCCGAGCATACGCTATCCAGCAAAGTTATCTTTCAGGTATGAGGGAGAAATAAAGGCTCTTCCAGACAAACAAAACCAAGGGAGTTCTACACCAGTATACCTGCCTTACAAGAAATGTTGAAAGGAGCTCCTCCACCTGAAACAAAACAGTGAAAGTACACAAAACTTTCTAAGATGGTAAATAGAATCATAAACAAAAAGTGAAAGTACACGAAACTAAGATGATATATAGACAAAGAGAATCAGAAAATTGCAACTCTATATATTACAATGTGACTCTATCAGAAAATGTTGTTAAACACTTAATTATACTATAAAAGTAAAGGGGGAAAACATTAACAATAACTATAGCTACTTTAATTTGGTAATGAAGTCACAACATAAAAAGGGCTAATTTATGACAACAAAAACATAAAAGAGGGAGGAGAAAAAGATGGAACCTGTATGGACAAATGAATGTAAGATGCTATCAGCAGAAAAAAAGACTACTTTATCTACCAGACATTTGACACAAACCTCACAGTAACCACAAAACAAAAATCTAGAGCAAAGGCGTGAAACATAAAAATAGAGGAAGCTGAGAAAAAAAATGATAGAAAACCACCAAACTAAAATGGCAGACAGAAATGCAAGAAAAAATAAACAATGGAGATATAAATTACCAGACAAAAAGGATAAAATGGCCTTACTAAGCCCTCATATATCAATCATCACCCTAAATGTAAGTGGATGGAATTCACCAATCAAAAGACACAAAGTGGCTAGATCTATTAAAAATAAGACCCAGTTACACACAGCCCCCAGGAGACTCATGTTAGTTCTAAAGACACACACAGACTCAATGTGAAAAGATGGAACGTGATACTCCAAGCAAACGGCAGCCAAAAGAAAGCAGGTGTAGCCATGCTTGTGTTGGACAACAGGTAACTAATACAGACTGCAAGACAGCAGATTAACAAGAGACAAAGGTGGACATCATACAATGATAAAGGGGCCAGTCCATCAAGAAGACATGATATGTATTAAGATATATGCCCCTAACACAGGAGCACCAAGACATAAACAGCAATTACTAACAGGAGGAATTCTTCCCAAAGGAAGAAGTTGACAGCAACGCAATAATAGCTGGGGGCTTTAACACCCCAGTTACTTCAATGAACAGATCACCCAGACAGAAAGCCGATAAGGAAAAACTGGCTTTAAATTAAACATTACCAATGGAATGTCTGTCTGTCTATCTATCTATCTATCTATCTATCTATCTACCTACCTACCTACCTACCTCCTACCTATCTAGCTCCTGCCATTCAAAAGCAGCAGAATACACATTCTTTTAAAGTGCACGTGGAACATTCTCAAGGACAGGCCATATGCTGGGAAACAGAACTAGTGTGAATGAATATATATATTGAAATAATATAAAGCATTTTTCCTACCACAGGGGTATGAAACCAGAAAACAACTACAAGAAGAAAGTTGGAAAAATTAGACTATGGATACATGCTATTGAACAACTATTGGGTTGATGAAAAACGTCAGAGGAGAAGTTTAAAAAAAATACATGAGGAAAAATAAAAAGGAAAATATGATACACCAAATCTATGGGATGCAGCGAAAATGGTACCGAGAGGGAAGACAGCAGTACGGGCCCACCTCAAGAAACAAGAAAAGTCTTGAGTAAACAACGTAACCTTCCACATAAAAGAAGAAAACACAAAGCGCAAAGTCAGCAGAAGGAAGGAAATACTAAAAATCGGAGCAGAGATCAATTAAACAGAGACTGAAATGGTTAATATAAAGATCAGTGAAATTAAGATGTGATTCTTTGAAAAGGTAAGCAAAATGGACAAGCCGTTAACTAGACTCACTAAGAAAAAAGAGAGAAGGCTCAAATAAATAAAATAAGAAATAAAACAGGAGACGTTGTAATGCTTACCACAGAAATACAAAAGATTGTAAGAGACTACTATGAATAGCTATATGCAAACAAATTGGATAACTAAGAAGAAATGGATGAATTCTTAGAATTAATAATCTTTCAAGAGTGATCATGAAGAAATAGAATATCTAAGTAGACTGATCCCTAGTAAGGAGATTGAAAGAGTAATTAAAAACTTCTCAAAAAACAAAGGTCCAGGACCAGATGGCTTCACTGGTGAATTCGACCACACACTCAAAGGAGATTTAATACCTATCCTTCTCAAATTCTCCCAAAAACTGATGGGAAAGGAAGCTTTTACAGGGCCAACATCATCCAGATACCAAAACCAGACAAGGACAACAGTTTTTAAGAAAGTTACAGGCCCAAATCACTGATGAACATAGATACAAAAGTCCTCAGCAAAAATGAACAAATCAAATACAACAATACACCGAAAGGATCACACACCATGATTAAGTGGGATTTACTTCAGGGATGCGAACGGTTCAATCTGCAAATCAATCAACATGATACACCACAATAACCAAAAACTCTGAGGAGACGCTCCACCAGTCCCTGAGGATCTTGCCCCCAGGGGGCCCAATATAAATATTTTGATTTATTTCGTTCCAGAAAGAGAAAGAGACAGAGTTTTATTTTACATCCAATGAGTTACACCTACCTGTTTTTCTGTTAACCTACCTAGTATCTATGCACTGTCAGGTACCTGATTTCATGTTATAAATTTAAAATTTTATTTTATCATTATAATTCTTCGCAAATATTTTGATAGTTTAATAATATAAATATATCATAATATATTCAATGATTTTTTCTATGATTTAATATTTAAGACATCCAAATATGTTGCCATTTAAAATACATTATTGTGAAATATAAATTAATGTGTTTAAACACTCATCCAAATTTTAGGTTAATTCTTTAATTTAAATTTCCAACCATAGAATTACAGGGCTTGAGAAAATTCTTTAGTTACTATTATCAAATTGCTTTTCAAAGAGGTTTTTGCAATTTAAAATTTCACCTTGAGTGTTAAGAAGAACTATTTTCATCACACACTTGCGAGCACCATGTGTTGGTGTTTTCACCTTACTCAATCTTCGCAATGGCTACTGTGAATTAATTTTTATCTCCATTTTATATGAGGGATTAAAACCTAGTTTTTTTTTGCCTTTCTCTATATTGATGCCTCATTTATTTATTTATTTTTCCAGCTTTACTGAGAAATAATTGACATACATCACTGTGTAAGTTTAAGGCATACAGCATGATGATGTGATTTACATATATTATAGGAATATAGTTTTATACCCAAGAATTGAAATGCAGTTTTCTCTGCCAGGAAATTCTGCCTTTTGGAAAAGATCATTTTTGGTGAATTAAACCAAGTACCTTGAAAAAAGCCACTTACTTTGTAAATATCAAAGACTGACTAAATAGGTAAGGAAAGCAGCCGACTTACACCATCAGGAAGAGGCTCATTAATAGTCTGGTACTGGCCTGCCAAGAGAAATAGACCAAAATGTTACTGCAAAGCATTGGGAAGACTGGGCCCTTGTCCTCCAGAAGTCTTGTGCTCATTTCAATTAATTCTTCTTGACTGTAATCGCTCAAAATCAAGTGCACATTTCCATACTCATTCTCTCTGCCGCTTTTGCGTAACTGGGGCAATGGGAAAGGAGGAAAGAAAATCAGACCCCACCCGAGAAGGCTGGCTCTTTCCCCGGCAGGCCAGCCTTCTCACTCAGAGAGAAACAGTGTTAGAAGGAACCCTGCCCCCACGTCAGCTGCGCCCAAAGTGATGACTTAGTAGCATCTCAGCCAAAGACCAGGTGTGTCTTCCCCTCCGCTCACCCCCTGCGGCACACATGTCCATGCAGGGTCTCCCTGAACAGATTCCATGCATTTACATTCTACCCGTGTAAGAGCCTTATCTATTCGTTCATCTGTCCCTGACACCAGGTGCAGGGCCTAATATTGACCAAATGAGTTCCTTCTTTTTAATTGGAAAGGAAAACTCAGTGATTTTTAAATTGTCATCATTTAAGGTATGAAAGGATTTAGTTAGCTATGTTATTTCTTTTATTTATTTATTTTTATTTGTTTTTCTTTGCATTTTTTTATTCAAGTACAATCAGTTTACAATGTTGTGTCAACTTCTGGTGTACAGCATAATGTTTCAGTTATACATGGACCTACATGTATTCCTTTTCATATACTTTTTCATTATAGGTTACTACAAAATATTGACTACAGTTCCCCGTGCTATGCAGTGGAAACATGTTGTTCATCTACTTTATATGTAGTATAGTATAGTAGTTGCAGATTTGTATCTGCAAATCTCCGACTCCCAATTTATGCCTTCCCCCACCCTGCCCCCATAGCCATAAGTTTGTTTCCTGTGTCTGTGAGTTCGTTTCTGTTTTGTAAATGATCGAATGAGTTCTCGATAGGCATGTATTGAATTCGTATTGTGCAGCCGAGATTTCTCAACACTCAGCTCCTCATTTGGACTGGTTTCATGAAAAGTTGCCTAAAGGTCATCTAGCACGCTCAGTGTTTACTGTTTTACTTTATACCCTGGGATTACGCAAAATCACCAAATAATTGCTCACATGATCTGTAGGGCTTTTGCTTCCTCATAGACTTACTTTTCCCAAGTTGCAGCGTAGTTTCATGCTGTTAGTCTGAATTTAGGAACATTGTAGCAGAAAATATTCTGCTTACATTTTCCTTATTAGCACATACATGAGACGTCTCTAGTAGGTCTCAGGACAAGAAGCTGCACTCTTCTTAGCAATTAGTTTGCTTTGATTTAACGTAAAACATCAACCCTATAAGAGATCATATTTCCCTTCCTCCTTTGGCTGCTAAGACTCTCAAGGCAAATTTCTGGTCTGAGTCCAAGTAGCGTAGAGGACCATGACATGAATGTATTTGTGCTTCTTGGTCTGGCTTCATCATGTTCTTAAACTTTTGTCCTTTCACCCTGAAATCTCTTACCGGACCAAAATACAAAATTAATAGCTGTGAATTTGTGCCAGCATGCCCAAGTCTTTTGTAGGGTGTAATGTGTAAATTAATGGAAATTTGGCTCAGTGGAAACACGGTTCTCTGGAATTTGTTTAGGACTTGTGCACGGGGGACGTGTTAATTCGCCAAAGCTAATCTCCTTGAGATAATGGGCCTGGAGGAGCAGAATCCTGTCTGCACCTGCCACCAGTTTCCATCCATCCTTTTGGTAGGACTAGCAGCTACCAGTACCCTGGGGCACTAATAACACCGTCCTGTCCCAGCACGGTTACACCCTCCTGAGATCCCTGGCAGAGAAACCCACAGGTTTTCCAGCCCTTTACAGTAGCAATTTGTACATGCTCATAAATTAAATTAATAAAGTCGCCCATTAAAGACCAGCTTGTCTGGCAGGAACAAATGAGCATGGAATTATTGGGGATTCGGAAAGCAGCTCCACTGTCTGATTCAGGGGCCAAATAATTTCATTTTAGGAAATTGGCCTCACTGAACATGGTCATTATGCCCACATCCTCCTGGAGAGCTGTGAGGTCTCTTCTTCAACTGGCATTGCTGTCTGGGACTCTCCCGGCGTCCCCAGATATGCCACATGCCACTCCTGGGTCTTGCCTTGTGTTGATTCCACCGGGAGGCCCTGCCTCCTGCACTTTGTTTTCCAAAATGCTCTGTGTCCTTGGAGAGCCTCCCGGGCCTTCCTTTCCCACCACGCCAGACCACCGTGACGCAGGGAACAGTTGGAGCCGTTGTTTTCTGCCTCACTCACAGTGATACACATAAAAACAGGCAGCCTCTGATCACTTCTTTGTTGTGTACGTACACTGCCCTCACTATCTCTCTCTGTTATTGGAAATTTCATTTTAAAAGCATAGTTTTAAAAGTGCAGATCAGTTCGTGTCACTTATGGCCCATGAAACGTGGTCCAGATTCCCCGCCGTGGTCCGCAGAGGCCAGCACCGCCCAGCACAGCCCGGCCTCGGCCTGTCTCTAATCTCATCTCTTTCCAGTGTCTTCCTTCTCTGAACTCTAGACACATCAGCCTCTTTTGAAGTCCATCCAGTACCCCAAGCTCCTCCCACTCGGAGGCTTTGCGTGCTCTGTCCCTCAGTCCAGAACGTTCTTGCCTCAGCTCTCCTAAATGTCATCTCCCTTCAGGGACCGTCGCTGACTACCAATCTCAGGTGAAAATTAAGAAGCACCTCTCCAGCCCCGGTCGTCACTACCTCAGGCGCCTGGGATGGCAGAGAGAATGCTGTGCGCTCACCAAACCCCGTTCCCTCTTCCTGGGGGCGGTCGGCGGGCACACAGTTCCTAGTGCCCCTTACACTGGGTGGCCATGGCCTGGTGCTGTGGCCGCTGCGAAGAGGCGGGTGTGACGGATTCCACTCCGCCTCTCGTTCATGCCCCAGGCTCCGGGCAGAGAGAGAGGACCCAAGACCCTCAGGCACTGAGTAGAAGGAGAGTGGATCCCCAGTGAGCGCTTGGGAAAAGACCTCCTTCACTTTACATTGGATTGTGATGAGCAGGAAATAAACCTTCATTTCAGTCAGCCACTAACATCTGTGGTTTATGCGTCCTAGGTGTGAGTCCTCCCTGATCAGTACACCTTGTTCGGCTTCCCCACAGCGCGTGGGAGCACCGCGTGGGGACGAGTGTGCCACATGGTTACAGACGGCGCGCCTGCCTCCCCGAGGCAGAGGTGAGACTCCAGGCTCCTGCTCACTCCTGCAACCCGGTGTCTGTAGGTGACAGCGAATGGGCAGTCGGCTGTGAGCTAGAGGGAGGGCTGCGGGGGAAACACCCAGCCCCGGGAACCAGCAGCAGGACTCCAAGTCGCGCCTGCTCCGCCCCCTTGCGGAGCGCACTTGGGCCTGGCGCTGCCTCTTGCCTCCTTCCCTTTTCTGATTCTTAGCTTCCTCACCTGTAAAGCACAGTATTAGAATCTCAAACTAGCTGAGTTCCCAGAACCTTTCATTTTCATTTCCTTTTTTTATAAAACCTGTGCCCAAAGCTGGTTATAGAATCTGTCCCATTAAGAAACCACCACAGCTGGTTAAAAGGATGGATGGATGAGTGAATAAATGATTGAATGGTGATGTGTAAGGCAGGGGCCTCCTCTCCCATTTCTCATATGATCTCCAGAAATTCAAATGAAATACTCTGAGAAAGTTGTTTCCCAGGGACCTGACAGCTGCCTCTTGGTGGGGACAGTCTTGATAGTTTTCATTTATCTATCTGTTTATTTTTTGCTTCAGCCAGTGATTCTCAAAAGACTGTCCCAGAATGACCTGAATTAGAATGATTTTGTTAAAGGTAAGGGTCCTCTGGCCTCGCAGCCGCTGTGCCAAAGCAAACCCGGGCGTGGGCTTGCGTCTGTGCATTCCTAACTGCTCTGACTCTGACACACGCTGAATTTTGAAGACGATGGTGCATCTTTGGGGCTTATCAACCTTGGACGATTTGAAATCCTGGCTTGTGCTTACTAGAACTGGGTGAACAGCCTTTCCTGCAGTTTAGCTGTTCACTTTTCAGTTTGTTTCTGTCCACCAGTTTCCCCAGATTCTTGGGGAGAACCAGCCTCTGCTAAGTTCATACAGGTATTGCACTGTCCAGAAACGGTCAGCAGGAGGCACTGGATGCTCACATATTCCATACCTGCCTTTCCTCCCTCTGGTCCTAAAATTCTTATTAATTTTTCTTTTAAAAGTGGGAAAAACCACTGAATGGCTTTGCTGTACACCTGAAACTAACACTGTAAATCGACTACACTTCAATTAAAAAAACTCTTTAATTAATTAATAGATTAAACAATAGGATATTTAACACTAAAAAAAGTGGGAAAAACCAACCTTAAAGATTGATTTCTTTAGAAAACACAGAACAAAACAAAACAAGGGTTCCTGGACAAAATGAAATTTCTTATCTATTTAATTGAATCAACCAATATATACCTTGATCAGGGTTTTTACTGTGTGTGATAACTTAAGACAGAAGGACTCACTTTCTAAGCAGGGCTGTCCTCTCCAATTTCACTCTATATTCAGTGGAAGGAGAAAAACTCCTGAGTTTATTTTACGGAAAAACATGACACTGTTCTCTATGGATCAACTTCGCAGAAGATGTTGGCATTGACAGATTGTCCAAGTTTGAATATGTGTCTGTCTTCTCCAGGTCTAGAGATTTTTTTTTTGACAGATTGCTTTCAGTATACAAAAATATCTGCTGCTGTAGAAAAATCAGATACAGATAAGCAAAAAAGAGGAGAATAAAAATCACTGTAATGTCCCCACACCAACACACCCACTATAAATACTTGATTAGCACAAAATCACTAACACACACGTGCGATACAGTCTATGTATACACGATCACAGTGCGTGCACACAGTTTTCTTGCCTGCCTGTTCATATAATAGCAGGCTACGACGTATCCATCCGTGTGCGTCACAGCATTATATTTAATGGCTCCGTAGTATTCTCTCGTATGGGTGCCCCACCATATTTTCAATGACTCCCATGGTAGAAAATTGCAAACAGTTTTAAAGTATCTGAGAATGTTATCTGTATCAACGTGATGAACAGTCTCCTATAAGTCATCACGTGCTTCCTTAATTGTATCAGTTTTATTATAGTTTAATAGACCGCGGCAGGGTGTGTAAGGGGTGAAGTGGTTTGCGGCTAAGTGTTTTTGTCGGGGTATAGATTTGAATGCCTGTGGGCGGCTTTATCTCAATTGACTTTGTTTTTTTTAATGGTTTTGATTTTTTTTTCCCCGCTTGTGTCTCGCAATGCTGTTGATGAAATAGCACCCTACCTGTCAGCAGGCGGAGAACAAGCCGGGAGGAGAGAGGTACAGGTCACGATTATAATTCATCAGCCACTGCATCATCAGATTAACAACCTCATTTCCCAGCACCACCCCCTTGAGAATTTTCTACAGTCCCCGCAAGACTCTTCTAAGTGGATGGTCGGAAGGGGTGAGAGGTGGCCAGCAAGGGGAGGGGGGTAGTTTTTGACACCACAGACTCAGTGCAATTTGGGAGCAGCTACCTGGAGAGAATGCAGCCTTTCTTGGGACCTGACTGAGAAGCTTCAGAAAAACACGTTCTGCAAAAGGGATTAGAGCTGGGCGCTCATTTCCTATTTATATTCATACTTGAGATGTTGATTTTGCCTTCCTCCTTCTTGCTGCTCTGCGGGGCGCGCTGGGTGCTGGTTCCACGCTCCAACCTGCTCTGTAATGAACCTTTCGGATCCATTTGCTGATGACATCACGCCCTGTGAACCTATCACTCCTTTGCATGCTTCCTCTTGTCTATTTCTCATTTTTTGTGGCTCATTCTGGTCCTCATTCCTAGTCACCAGATTTCTAAGAAATTCTACGGGACTTTCCTTGACATAACAATGCTGCAAAATGGATGCTATCCACTTTATTCAGACGTTCGTGGGGTCCTACTAAGTGTCTGGTGACAGGAACTAGGCTCTGAAAAGATGCAAGAGAAGCCTAAAATGAGGTTTCTGCCCCATTCTCTCCCTCCACACGTATTTTGGGGGGGAACCCATTATGTCAAGTGGAGTGGAACAAACCCGCGTGAGCAACCACAATCCGGGCACTCATGCAGACTTCTACCCATTTCACAGATGGAGAAACTTGGGCCCACAGGGGTCTGTGCTTCATCCAAAGCTGCACAGCTAATAAAGGGAGAGCCAGACATCTGACGTCTGCAGATGTCACAGACTTCCACCCTGGGAGCAACCAGAGGGAAAGACTGTAAGTAACTAATGTCACCTTGAATAGGCCAATAGTTCTACCCAAGGAAAAACAGAAAAGAATGAAAAGAAGAGTAAGAGGTTCATGCTGACATCCCCGCTGCTTAGGTCCCAGTGGGGGCGAGGTGGGGCAGTGGGGGCTGACTCACCTGCGGCACTACTGATTCGGGGCCATGACCTAGGGCAGAAAAAAGAACCAAGGTTAAGTGCCAGCTGCATGCAATTCAGCATCCTCCCCGAAGGAGTGGGTGATCATCAAAGACATTTCAGGGATCAGCTTAGGGAACAGTTGCTTTCTGTTTATGCTGTTCTAGACCTAAAGGAACATCTCCCTACAGAGAATATAAAAAACAGAAAAATGTGTGGAGAAGGAAATAACAGTCAACACCACAGGTGATGTTTTGCTGAGTCTCATGCACACGTGTGTGTGTGTGTGGGTGTGTGTATACATTTCAATGTATAGATGTCTGAGAATAATACGAAAGTACGTATAGGATCCTGATGTTAAAAAATGCATTGTATATCTTGAACTGTTATTCAAAAACAGGGTATTTTTTGGCTGTGTGATTTTCGGAGGAAGAAATTAGGTCGTTTTTACTGTTGCAAATAATGTTGCAGTGTGTCTCCCTGCTTGCAGTTTTAGTCTGATGGCTGAGTATTTCCATGGAGAGACTCCATCAAGGGCAGTGAAAGTGTCTGATAATGAGGGTCTTCTAAGCCCCTTGTTGAGTATCCTCAGGTGCCTTCAGGATGGGCTGTGTCAATTTACATTCTTATCCACACAGTGAGAAGGGACCATCTCACCGTATCTTACCACCATTGAAAAAAAGAAATTTGAAGTATACTTGACATACAAAACAGAAACTGACTCACAGACATAGAAAACAAAGTTATTGGTTACCAGGAAGGAAAGGGGGAGGGGATATTTAGGACGTTGGGATTAGCAGACACACACTACTATATAGAAAATAGATGAACAACAAGGTCCTGCTGTATAGCACGGAGAACTACATTTAATATCTTGTAATAACCTATAATGATAAAGAACATGAAAAAGAATATATATTTAAATTCACAGCCATTTAAACAAATTTCCCTGCTTGGTACTTGATGCCTTATTTTGTCTATTTCACTTCCCTGCTGACCAGTGAGATGGAATTATTATTATTACCATTTTCAAGTGGTTTTGGGCCATTTGCATTTCTTTGCTGGTAAGTTATCTGAAAAGACCAACGGGGTCTCTTCCTGGTCACCACAGTCACCCTTGGACAGTGTGTTTTGAAAGCAACTTTTCCCCAGATTTTGGGCAATGACATGAAAAGCCCTAGGCGGCAGGAAGCTCCGAAGCCCGTGGCTGCTGTGAGCTTACTTGTTTGTGCCTTTAATCCCCGGCCCTCGCAGCGCACTTATCCTCCGAGGCTCTCAAAGTGCGTCACAGGGGCGATTAATTGAGCATCGCAACACAAGCGGGCTGTAAATATTTATGAGCCCTCATTGGTGGCGGGGACACTGGGCACAGAAGAGTTAAGCTGGGAGGTGTTAAGTCACCAGGAGACCACAGCCCGTGGGTCCCGCTTCCAGCTCAGCCCGTGGCTCTCTGCTCACAGGTTAATGCTCAGAATGAATCTGTTTGGTAACTATTACTGTCCCAAGTTTATAGACGAGGAAATGGGGGATTCACAACGTGCCCCATCCCACAGAAAGCCAGGGAATGGGCAGCAGCCTGTGGGCCCCCCAGATTCTTGCCGCCTCCCCTGGCCCTTGCCCGTAGGCAGTTGCGCGTCATGGAGGGACGGTGCATCTGCTGTCTCGGATGCTTTGTGGTTGGCTCCTGGCACGCTTTCAAGTTGCCTGAGATTCTGCAGAAATCAACAGATCAGCCAGGGGGGAGCCGATTGTTTATCGGGGCCTGGGAGCTCTCTCTTAACACTTTCAACAAGTGGCCTCGTCCCCGACAGCTTGGTCTCTGATTAAAGCCTCAAAATGTTCCCTAGACTTGCAACTCATGACAGGTGAAGTGGAGATGATATGTTTCTGTGACTGTGTACAGGTAGCATAATGTAAGAGGCAGGCCAGGCTGGGGACAGAAGGCAGCACATCACTGAGGGCAGGATGCAGTCCTGAGCCCCAGGAATTTGAATACGAGGCATACTCTCCCCGGGGTCCTAGGAGGAACTTCAGGTCTCAGATTAGGATTTCGTCCTCATTCTGACCTTGGCCTCCCCCGATTCTTAGAATCAAAGACCATTAATGCTCGAAAGTGCATCAGAGATCATGTTGTCCAGTGTGTGGTTCCAAGTTTCAGGCTCTTGGAGGCAGGACTGGGGTCTTTTGACAGCTGGAGAGAATGGAGCTAAAGGGGAAAATGCTCCTTCAGGCACCGAGCAAGGCTCGGTTCCAGCCGGTGGACTTTCCCCACTTTGCAGATGCAACTAAAGCTTAGAAGGGAGAAGCGGTGTTTCCAAAGGGGAACGGCAAGCGGTTGGCAGAACTGGGATTGGCCTTATTATTTACCAGCAGATGCGAGTTGCCTGCATCTAGAAGCTCGCTCCCGATTGTAAGGCCAATCGTAGGGCTGTCTGAAGGTGGTTCATCTGACGGGGCCCCAGAGCGATGGTGCTCATTCATATGTCATGTCCTCGGGGACTCTGCACCCCAGGGCTCTCCGTGCGTCAGCGCAAGCCAGATGAATTAGCAGAGGAAGCAGCAGCAGAGCAGGGAACAATGTTGTTATTCCAGCTGAGCCCGAAACGGGGGGAGGGAGAAGAGGGAGGCTGGAAGGAGGGGCCTGGGGAGACGTCCTGGACTCCAGTTATGTCTGGCTGGAGCGCGGACAGTGTCTGGACACCGGCAGCTGACAAGCTCTCCAAAAAGGCTCCTGCGTTAACCCTCTTTGCAGCTTGACAGCCCAGGGTGATTAATGAAAGATGCTCCTAGCAAACTTCCTGGAAATTTGATGTGTTCTCTCTGCGCTCAGGCAAGGCCCATGTGTTAGCAAGCTGCCTCTTGCCAGGGAATCACAAGGATGCTCCCTGGCTTCCTTTCGTCAACAGCATCAGTAAGGCAGCCGCGTGCGAACGGGCCGCAGCTGGATGGTGCGTGGCTTGGCAGCCGCCCCTCTGCCCTCCTCAGCCCCCTGCTCACTTCCACATCTGGCCTGAGGGGAGCAGTCTCTCTCCCCGCTTCGGCCCGGACGGGCAGGTGTCCACAATGTGGGCAGGGCTGCTCATGGGCTATGAAATGAACAAAGCTAACCTCCAGAGGTTTGTGGTTTTTAATATTTCAGGCTCATTACAAATGAAGATTTTTAATTGCTGAATTATTTTGAATTTTTAATCCTTCTTAATCATTTAAAGGGTGTAATCGGTTTTAATTTTTAAAGGGTATTAAATTAAACTCCCCCCACCCTTGCTACCTGGGAGACCTGGGTCTGATGAAGTCCCATTTGCGCTCTTTTATCCATGGGAACAAAGTTTGGATAGTGTGTTATTCCGGTCCCACAGAGACGGGATTTGGTCCTGTCTCCAGGGTCAGGCTCCTGGCGTGGAGACCAGTTCCTCATCGCCCCCTCGAGTGTGGTGTGTGTGGTCCCCTCTGGGTCTCCCCAGGCCCCTGCAGCTGGTCCAGAATGAGACAGCAAAACCCTTGGGAAAGAGGGTGATTTCACCCTGCCAGCCCTCCCCTCTCCCAAACCGCCAAGATGAACTGGCTCAGCGCCACACCTCACTTTAAGCCCTGCCCCTGAAATGCAGAGACTAGAATAAAATTCTCTAAGTTTTGGAAGATGATTGATGTTTTTAAGAGTTACTGAACTCATATTTCATATAAACTAGAAAGAGATGAAGACAGACATGAAGTTCCTAAAGGCACTCCCTCCTTCCCGCTCTTTGAACATCTATCTGCACCGTGTTGGGAACTGTGTACTTCGCATAAACCATTTCAGCCAAACTTCCTAGCAATTCTTGTCGGACAGTGTGTTCATTTCAATTTGAGGGCTCTTATTGGGTGTTTGTGCCTGACGGGACCACCAACTGGCCCTCTCATTTTGCAGATGGATTGACTGAGGCGCAGGTTGGCCTCACGGGGCGGTGGGGAGTGGATGGTGTCATGTTTTACACCCAGCCAGTCTGGTGGCAGGACCCGCCCGCTGCTTCTCTCCCCCTCTCAGAGGGAGGTGGAGGGTTTGCAACAGGGAGCAGTGGGAGCTAAGGTTTAGGAATGCAGCTGAGAGCTCAGAGAGCAGGAACCTGAAAGATAAGCTAGGAGGGCTGTATTGAAAGGTGAAAACAAAACTATCGGGCGGTTTGCTGGGTTGGACGGCAGACAGTGGGCGTATCGGAGCAGGATGCTTTGTTGTGCCTGGTTTAGCTCCAGGGGGCTGAGCAACTCCTGAGCCCACAGTCCCCTCCACGCTCTCTGTCCCTCCCCTGCTTGCTCTGTCTTCCCTCTCTTCTTTCTTCCGTCCTTCGCCTTCTGTTAAAAGTTTCTTTCCTCATCTATTTCAGGATCTCGTCTATGCCAGGCACTGGGAGTAGTACAAGCCAGCCGCATCCTGGAGCATCCTCCTGGGTCCTGACTTTATTCTCGCTCCTCCCCGCCCTTCTCCCTCCCTCTCCCTCAGCCATGTTTATTGAGCGTCTGCTACGTAGGAGCTCCTTGTAGACAACCCTGGAGGGCTGGCGGGACACCACACTATTCCATACACCCTCTGAGAGCACTTTGGACCCTCCGTACAGCTCTCAGCTACTGAGATCTTTTGGGAAGACACTTTCCTGCACAGTGAGGGGGGCCAGAGGGAGCAGAAGTGATTCTTACGGCTCTCTCAGTGCCACAGGTGCCCAGGGCAGCTGGAGAACAGGTGGGGCCGGGGAGCAAAACCAGAGAACTTAAGAGCCGACCAACAGCTCTAGCCGCCCATCCCGTCTCCTGAGACTCGGGTGTGCGTGGCCAGGAGGCTCGGCAGGGGGCCTCCTAGTGCGCGGAATAGAACAGTGTGGCCATCTCCTGGAGGACCGGCCTTCTGGGCCCTGAGAAATCACAGCCACCTGCACCTTGTTCCCTGGAGTTAACCAGTGCTGCAGCTGATAGTGGAAGAAGGGAAAAATCAATAGTCGATGAGGTGAGGAATTGGGAAGGGTCTGAATGTGGAAAGTGTTAGGAAGGGCCCCGCCAGGAACGGGAAAGGAAACAGAGGCTGGCACTTGGAGCGGGAGGACGTGGCTCAGAACCCTGGCTCTGCGAGTGGCTCGAAGGTGGACGTTGGAAAGCCCTCAGACACCTGGTTTTTGGTCTCCTCCATGCTCTGCCTCTGTCACCGCACGTGCACGGTATCTTACGATCGGTTCCACCTGCCTTTTTGTGTTTGTCTCCACCATGGACTGAACATCTTGATGGCAGGAGCTTTGTCTTCTTCATTGTGATTCTCCTGGTCCCCAGTGTAGTGGTCTCTCCCCGGTGGGGATAGCATTCTCTCCCACCTCCCTCCTACTCTCTTGCACCCATCAGTCCCTATCTTATTTCTTCCTCCCCAAGCCCGTTTACGTGGAGAGTAGGGGCTGAGTGAGCGTTGAGCACAGAGGCTGTCACTTCGGCTCCAAAGCTTGCCTCTTGGTAAGGATGCAAGGCTCTCAAAGGTGAACGGGCATCACAGTCACTGGGAGACCCAGTTGTTCAGACCCAGGAGCTTGGACTCCAACACCCGAGTTTCTGAGTCAGCAGGTGGGGCCCGGGAATCTGCATTTCACAGTAGTTGCCAGGCGATGCTGACGCTGGTCCAGCGACCACGTCTAAGAGTAGCCGCTGTGAGGCTCTGCCATCGTGGATGTGGACCGTCCTCTCCGAAGTTTGACGCATGCGTCCCGTCTTCACAGTGGAGAGTCTTGAGCAGATTCGTGACTCATAGGAAGAGAGAACAACATTCACGTGTGATAACTTAGACCCCAGAAATGGCGCTCGATTTGACGTCAGACCGAATCCAAACCCAGCCATTACTAGTTCCTGGCTCTGTGACCAAAACACATCGTCTCTCAGGCTCCCTTTGCTCATCGCTCAGATGAGAACAACAGCACCTACTTCGGAGAATCGCTGTGAGCGTCGGATGCCCGTGTTCTTCTCGTGGCGTCTGGCGCTTGGTAGGCCTTCAACCACTGATTTCAGTTTGGTCTTGGTCGGAAAACCTCAGTCAGTGATCTCCTGTTGCTGGCCTCATGGGGACATGGCACGGAATACAAGTGGGCCCTGGGGATTCAGCCAGGTAAGTTCCACGGGACGTTCCAGGAAACACTCATCTCAGGGCTGTAGGTGGGGCGTGGTTAACGGGTGCGCGGCGATCCTGTCTTTCTCTTGATCGTCTCCCGGGCTGTCTCACCTGGGTGAAGCCCCAGCACGTAGCTTCCTGTTTTACTTTGTGTGTTACCAGGAGGCCCGTGTGAGTTTGAGTGTGGGGGTGGGCGGGGGTGGATGGCTCTGCTGAGCCTGTCCCTACACCCACCGGGTGGCAGTACTGAGGGAAGCGGCATGGAGTGGCAGCGTTGTTTTAGAGGCTCGTAGTAATAATGATGCCCACCGTTTACTGTGACTCACAACCAGCGAGTCGGCCTTGGGCAAGTTATTTACCGTCTCTAGTCTGCACTGTTCTCTCCTGGAAAAGGCGAACTAGTGAGAGTGTGATGGCTAGAATCCAGGGAGATACATGTATTAAGCTCTTAAAATAGCTCCTAGCCCGTGGTGAGCACCCAGTGACTGAGAACCTTAAAACAATTTTTTTTCTTTATGTAATTAAGTTTATTTATTTATTTTAATGGAGGTACTAGGGATTGAACCCAGGATGCCATGCATGCTAAGCACATGCTCTACCACTGAGCTCTCCCCTCTCTCTAGCCTTTGTGATTTATTGAGAACCTACTATGTGTCAGGCACGCTATAGAGGTCATGCATTCATTCCCCAAACATAGGAACTGCTTCCGGTTTGGGGGGTCAGTGGTGGGCAAGACCACCTCTTCTGAATTTTTTCAAATGCCATTTCTAAAATCCACGAGGCACTGAAATGAAAATGGGCTTGTCTAGACAAGGTCACTCAGCCAGAGATTTCAATCCAGCCCCAGCGGACTCGTTCTGTTCTGCAGCACCACCCAGCAGTGACACCCTCCCTTCTCCTTCATCATCAGACCCTGATCATTATAACTTGTGTGCAGAATGAATACGTTGGTTTAATAGTTATTAAAGTAAGATAGTAGGTCAGATATGTTGTTTTCAGACATTTTGATTTGATTTATAGACCTCAGAAACAAATTTATATTCATATAATACTTCCATTATAAAATATGCAGTAGTACAGAGATTTGCATGTATCTGGGAGTTTTCTTCCTTTTTAATTTGAGTTTATAAATGGTTTGGAACAGGTTGCAGAAACATCGTCTGTTGCTCTTTTTAATATATCTCGAGCACACTGTGACACATCCTGAAATAATTTGCTTCAGAAAAAAACACTGCACTCTCTCTCTCTCTGTTTTTTTTTCCCCAAATGTAACTGTAAATATTACTTTGATGTATGTAATTGCTGCAACCATCTCCATTTGAAGGAAGACTTCTAACCCTTCCATCTCCCATCTCTTGCTATTGTCAAGAAATAAGAAAAACTGACTTAAAATGCATTATTCAAATCTATTTAATGTAAACATTGAAGAAGTCTGAGAACAGCCACAAATTTTCCTTTGCTTAATGTAATCTTGAAAATATTTCAAATATTCTGTTTCGCAGGCACTCACTTGCTCTGTTCAGGGAAAATATTTATTCAAGCACATCTTAGAATGCCGGGAAAGCTCCTTATGCCTGGCACGCAGTAGGAACTGAACGGATGTCTGGCGATTGGCTTGAGTTGAAGTTCACTGGGAGGCAAGGATTGGTGCAACACGCAGAGATCCTTGGGTACCTCCGGATGCAGAGCTTGGCAAGGTGGTCTGGCTGGGCACAGGGAGGCCCACACCCCTCCGAACAGCAGGCTGTTGCTCAGGATGAGACTTCAGTCAGTGGCAGAGCTGGATCTGACTTCAGGATTGGTCTCTTGTCAATCATTTCGTCAAGTCAGTCCTCCTCCTGAGCTTTAAGTCATGACTGTGCACCCCTTGGAGTTAAGACTTTGCCTCTTGTCTCTGCCTTTTCAGGAGCCTGCATGCGAAATAATGCCATAATTGCTCAAGAACAGTTTTGCTCAATTGAAGGACAAAAGAAACCAAATGGGCATGTGGCTCCCTCTAGACTCCTCACTTCTCAGACCTGGTGGTGAACTTGTGGCTTGATCCATCCATGATTCCTCACTCAAATCATTCAGCACCTGAAGAATGGAAGCTTCTCCCTTGGTGAATATCTCTGGGGCTGTTTAGAGGCCTGGGTGGGTGGTGGAAATAGCCCTGGCCTGAAACGCTGTGGACGCCCGGGGGCTCCTTAAAAACCTGTGCCTGTGTCACATGCATGCTCGACCCCCAGCGAGTCCCTTCTTGTTCTGGACCTTGGTCTCCGTGTAACTTCTAAGGTCACTGACAGCAATATAATTCTATCACATTAACGTTGCATGTGTGTGTGCTGGTAAGTTTATTTGCCCCAGAATCAAACATTTTACTCCTCTAATAATCAAGTAAAAATTCTAACCTATTTTTCGGTAGAGCAACGTTCTGGAATTTCAAATCACTGGGTCCTTCTTTTGTGGTTTTTCTATTGCCCCTGTGATGAATGAAAATAGATTATAGTCAGGAAATAGCAAGGAGCCGGGGGAAAAAATTAATTAATTGCATTCATTCATAGAAACAACCACCCAGTCAGATGTAAGTAATTAACATCTCACACGTAATTCCAAATCTCTCTTTGCATTTCCACTGGGCTTAAACAAAACCTGAGTTTAAAGTAACCCAATTACTTACATTTTTCTTTTTAATGTAAGAGCTTTATTTTACAAGGGGCAGCAGCGATGGGTAGAATGAGTGACCCTGTCAGGAAGAGGACGTGGGCACCCCCACATCAGCGGGGTCACTGTGGTGCCCTCCTTAAACTCTCTGCATCTCTGTGACATGGCTCTGTACACCTGCTCCATCCTTATCTCGTCTGTCCTCTGAGTCTGCCCTCTCCAGATCCTCACTACTTTTCAGGCAGGTCCAACAAAAGCCAGTTCTGTGTGGCTGAATCAACAGGTACTAATTGTGGTGAACAGTGTATGGTAGACACACCAGAAAAAGATATGCCTGCCTAGAAACTGTGAATTATTTGGGAAGAGGTACCATTAAGGTAAGATCATGAGCTGAGATCATCCTGGATTACAGTGGACCCTGTGTCCAAGGACAGGTGTTCTTAGAAGAGAAGAGAGGAGGAGAAGATGTGGAAGAGAAGGGCATGTGAAGTCCTGTGTGAAGATGAAGGCAGAGACTGGAGAGATGCGGTCACAAGCCAAGAAACACCTGGGGTCCCCCAAAGCTGGGAGAGTCAGGGAAGGGTTCTTCTCTAGAGCCTTCAGAGAAAGCACAGCCTTCTGAATTGACCTCAAACTTCTGGGCTCTGGAACTGCGGGAGAATACATTTCTGTTGTTTTATGCCACCTGATTTATGGACATTGGTTCTCATACCCCTGGGAAACTAACTCACAGAACATCTAACTTGTCCCAAGTTACAGAAAATGAATCAGACCCAGATCCCAAACAGGGCAATACAACAGGTGTAATGATAGAGAAAAACATTTGGTCTAGAAGGAAAAGGGAAGAAATGGGTTGAACCTTTAAGTGAGGGGTAGTCAAGGGAGACTTCCGCAGGGTGGTGAATGAGCACATGCAAGTACTTGGCAGACAGAGGACATGGTGAGCTGGGAGGTGGGGAGGGAGGGGGTGCAAATTACTCTGAGAGTGAAAGATGCCTGCTCCGATCTACTCTGGTCATTTTCCTCCAACTTCTCACCTTTACCTGTGCTCCCAGGTACATCCAATATGGCGGGTACAGTCTGACCCGCACGGATAAGGAATTACCATTTCATCATGAAACTACGCTTCTTTTAATAAATTTGCAGATCAAGTTCAGCTTTTTCCAGAAGCTGCTCATTCTACACACTCTTAGGGCAACTGTCGACTTCTGAGAAATCCTACAAATTGCTCCTAAGCCATAACTCTCTCTCAAGGACTTGTGCAGCTGGATTGCTGACTCCAAGATCATGCATAATAATAATACGGTGTATAGCATTATAGCTATAATGATTGTAACAACAGCTTGAAACTTAGATAAATTCACAACTTACTGGTCTTTGCCGTTTCACACATATTAGTCCATCAGATCCTCCCAACAACCTTATGAGCCAGTCCTAGTCTGTCCTCAACCCTGTTGAATTTCTTTACCGCGTGTTCAGCTCATGCTCTGTCTGCTAAGGAACTGCTACATGTTAGGTTCCTAGAGAAACACTCTGAGAGGGAGAAAGGGGTGCAGGAAGTACATTAGGGTGAGCTTCTGGAATCAGCCTCCATGGAGGGAAGAGAAGGAAGCTGGATTGGGCAGGGGGAGGAGTTGGGCTGTGCTCTGAGATTGGCAGGATGGCCTTCCAGACTGTCCCATGTTGTGGTGGGTGCGAGGCATCCTCTGTACTCCTGGGTGGACCAGTTAGTAGATGTGGGTGGCCCCAGGTGAGGCAACTCCACTCAACTAATTCCCAAAGAAGGTTGAGAGGGGCAGACTCACAAAGTCTGGTATTGGACTCCAACTCTTTAGAGAGTATGAGGACCCAAAGTCAAAATAGGTCTTGGCTGTAGTTTTCAGTAGGAGAGAATGAGAGAGAATGGACGGAGGTGGGAAGGAAGGATGGGGCTAAGGGCAGGATGACCCTGAGGGCAGGTTGTCCCCTCGGAAGGAGTGGATAAGCAAGTCAGAGAGATGCTAGTCTCCACACAATGTAATGTGGCATGGATGCAAAGGTTCAGAGCGCTCACTGGTACTTGATCTGGATTTGAATCAGGTTCTGCCAGCTGAATAAGTGGTCAATCTATCTCATCATACCCATTTTCAGACAAGGAAGGGCAGAGTTACAATAACTCCCTCACATATTGAGTGGATGTTAGTGATCAATTTCTGTTATCTAGGACTCAATTCTACTCAAAATAATCAAAGAATACCAGAGATAGACAACCAGTAGCAATGAGAAGGACAGCTGATAATTAAAGTACTTCACCCAGGCCAAACGTGTGCATTATCATCTCAGTTTTTGTGGGTCAGGAATCCAGGCATGACTTTGCTGGAGCCTCCATTTTATGATCTGTGTTGAGATCAGAGTGTCAGCCAGAGCTGAGGGCTCATCTGAAGCTTAACTGGGGAAGGATCTGGTTCTGAGCACACGTGATTGCTGTCAGGGGCTAGTTTCTTATGGTCTGTTGAACTGAGAGCCTCCCTCTCTGCTGTGTGTTGGGTGGAGGATGTCCCCCGTTCCTTGCCACATGGGCCTCCCTAATATGGCCACTTGCTTAACAAAGCAAGCAAACTAAGAAGACAAGGGGAAAGTGGCAATCTTACATAATGCAATTACAGAAATGACATATTGCCAATTGTGCCATATCCAACTGTTTAGAAGCAGTCACAGGTCTCGCTTACAAGGAAGAGGGCATGGATTACACAGGGAGGAGCATGGGTACCAGGCAAAGAGGTACTGGGGGCCATTGGAGTGTCTGTCCACCATGCATTTTGCTCACTCATTGTGTGTGAGTAGAGATGACACTTGAGTAACATCCAGAAGGTGTTTGGCAAACCTACAAACCACATCAGCTAGTCTTTCTGTAGCCTGTTTTATAACCTTCCACGACTCCTGAAAACATTGGGCCAATTTTCAAAAGTTTTTCAGATAATTCCAGAAGAGCCTGGAAAATACACAACAAACTTGTTCTCCAACTCTGCTCTTGCATGTGAGGGGCTGTTATAATCATTTTTTTTACAACAGGATGCTGTACTTCTAGCTTCCCTAAAAGGGTCACCACATTGGTTGTCACAGATAACTGCTCCGAGTGCTTCATAACTGATTTGTTCATTCCATTCGGTCCTTCAGCTGTCTGGGTGGTATATGCAAACTTCCTTGAAGTTGTGTATTTAGCTTCCTCTAAGCCTAGGAGATGTTTAACATGCTCTCTGAGCATCTGAGAAAAGCCCAGGTCCTTGGGTTTTTGACACGCCATTGCCTGGATGATGGCTACTTTTATGTGCTTGCTCTGCTGAACCCAGAAAACGTGAAGGACATGCACAGCCTTCTTGCCACAGGGTTTTTTTTTTTTTTCAAGTTTGAATTTGAAGACATTTACAAGGGCACATTTTCTCAAGCCCACGAAGCCTCATCATTCATTCCCTCCTATCTTGCATTTTTAGATTGATTGACTGGTACCTGAAGTCTTGAGCCAGTGGCCTTCCTAGAGGAACTTGAAAGGAACATCCACTCATTAACAAATGGATCACAATGAGATGTTTTAATTGCTGTCTCTCACTGACTCATGCCTCTGTGATGACCAATTTTCTGGGTCAACTTGTCTAGGCTATGGTGCCCAGTTGTTTCGTCAAAAACTAGTCTAAATGTTGCGGAGATGGTATTTCTTAGAGGCGATTAGCATTTAAATCAGTAGACTTGGAGTGAAGCAGATGACCCCACAGTGTGGGTGGGCCTCACCCAATCAGTTGAAGACCTTAAATGCAAATACCTAGGTTTTCCTTCTTGAAGAAGAAGGAATTCTGCCTTAAGACAACAACATAGAAACCCTGCCTGAGGTTCCAGCCCACTGTCTCATGGAATTTGGATTCAAGACTGCAGCATCAACACTTCCCTAAATCTCTAGCCTGCTCCCCCTGCCCTGTAGTTTTCAGACTTGTCAGCCCCCACAATCGTGTGACCCAATTTATTAAAATAGGTCTCTTTCCATATATATGAATATATATATATACACATATATATATACACACACATATATGTATTCTTTTGGTCTGTTTTTCTGGAGAACCTCAACTCAAATACCTCTAATTAAATCCTCACAACAACCCTGCACATCCGACCCTCATGTTCTCCTACTTTACAAGGACACAGGACCCCAGTCATGGAAGTCAAAGAAATCTTGGTGTAGAACCGGTTCCTTTATTGAACAGATGCCACGGAAAGCAGATATTCCACTCTATGAGGAATGGGGAAAGATGTACACACAGAAGAACTTTTGTCCTGAAGGATCCCTCTAGAACTGAGCAAGGCTTTGAGTCAGTTTCTGCTGAGGAGACTTAAGTGCAGGGACGTGTGAGATGGTCCTGTCAGGGGGCCGTGGCCCTCACGGTGGGACATCCTCTCCTTGCTTGTTGCCTGAGTCAGAGAGGAATCTGAGCTGCCCGTGAAGACAGTGTGGGCTGCTGTCTACGGGACGTGGTCTAATTGCCTGTCTGGGTTGTTGCAGTAAACCCACGCCGAGATACCTCACAGGAAGCCACCTTTGCTGGAGAGCAAATGCTGGTGATAAGGCAGGGTTTCCAGCCTTGCTCAGGGAAGGGGATTCAGTGAGGTACTGTTTAGCCTTGTGTCTGGACACACCGGGAGGCCACAGCACACCACATCTGGAGATGGTCCTGCCCTGCCTGAGTACATAGGACATGTGCAGCAGAAAGTGAGGGAAATGGCCCACATGCAAGACAGACTTATGTTCCCAAGCAGCTTCAGTGCTGGGGCCATTGCTCAGAGCCTCCTG